ACACACACACACACACACACACACACACACACACACACACACACACAGGTGACCATATCTGGGAAAGAATTCAAAGTCAAAAAGAATGTACACATTCTGCTGCAAACGAATACCAAGACAACAAAGCAAAATGCATGCATGAAATTAAAAAAATGTATTTGCATGCAGGCTGTTTGGTCCCCAAGCAAACACACAGTGGGGCCAAAACACACAAACACATCTGGAGACTATTCCACTGGAGCCATGGTTGTGGTGCACCAGATGCTTCCACGTGGCCAAACAACAAGTACACACACACACACACACACACACACACTCATGCACACACACACACACACACACACTCATGCACAGATTAAAATATGTGCCACGTCTAGACAATCATTATATTTGGTCTCCACAGTCAGTCTTCCTTCCTGCAAGCCCTTTTCATAAACACACTCAAGAATGCACACAGATTTACACACCAACATCGCCCGCTCCACACATCCCAGGTGACCTGGACTTGCCCTCAGCATGTGTGTAGGTCCCCATAACTCTTCGGTGTTTACAGGTACAGCAGGGCCCTCAAGGCAGGTGGGCGAGCAGACTGTGTGTCTGTACACACACCTGTCCCGTCTGCCGGGAGAAATGACCCCCATGCTCCCCTGGGGGTGCACAATGTGGCGTTCCTGCCTGGCAGAGGACACCTCTATAGCCTGACCTGACTGCCAGCAGCTTGCTGCTAACAGACAATGTGGTGGAGGACAGAGTTTCAAATGATGTACTGAAATAACAAGGAGAGCTTGACATGCTCCACATTGTGAATTATGCATTCAATGTTGGGGGCTGCTGACTCGAGTTGTGGTTTTCAGGTTCCAGGTTACCATTTCATGACAAGAGCAAGATCTTAGCAATACACTGTATAATAATGTGGCACGATTTATCTGAGTGCACAACTGTTGACTACATGGACACTTTCTATGTGAAAGTAGCTGCAAGCTAAACTGCTAAGGAAGAAGTCTTCCCCTGCAGTTGGGGTTGAAAGTTAATCAATGCCTTAGACGGCTGAGTGTGAGCACTTTAAAGCTGCAGCCATTATTATAGGCTTCATACCACATGATTGCAATAATAAAAAAAAGTTCACACAGTACATAATGCATAATGCATCGCAGTCCAGAGAACATAGGCTGAGGGAAAAGTTACAGCTCATTGTTATTATTATCTGGCCATAATCCAAAATAATTTAATAGGCTTCCTAATATGTATTGCTATGGACGTCTCGCTTTCTCCTTCTCTCCCTGCATTCCATCTGCAGCTTCACGGGCCACCCAGCTGGCTACAGCAGATAAAGGCAATGTGGGGTTACGCCACTGGGCTTGGCCATTAGCCCGGAAAGCAGGCCTGCGAGTGATCGGGTCACTGAATATGAAGCCAATACAGGAAGGAAAACAATGACAAAATTTGAAAGTCTTCCAGCATTAAAAGCTTGAAGAAAAGCGCAGGCACACAGTCAGTTGGTGACCAACATCGACAATCAAAACACACACCTCATCATCTCAGCTTGGACATTGTCTTTTTTTTCCAACGGCAACAATGTGTCTCCCTTGAAGAAACAGACATGCTCAGTATTTCTTGGGGTCATTTCGGTTCGAGGTTCCGACCTATTGACTATTTCCAGTACAAATACCGATTCCAGTACATTCTATGGTTTGAATACACGGAAAAAAGCAGTACTGATATTGTCCTATAACAAAGGAGATCAGTTGTGCTCAATGCCAAGCGATTTTTCTTGTCACACATTTCATCATCATTGCCACCACATAAAGATGGAAAAACAGCCCCAACACAAGCCTGTTTAGAGGAACACACTCTGACAGAGTTAAATGAAACATGTCCTCTCTATGGCCTGACAGGAGAATTGCTTATTAGCCACCACGACACTGATGATTAAATAGCAGTGCACCAGTAGCCCACTGCTTAGACTACTTTCCATCTGTTTTAATGGGAGAACCCAGCATAAATGTGTCGGTCATGTAAAATGGGTGGGTTCACTGTCTTTCCAGCTGTCTCTCCCAGCATTCTGTACCAAGAAGATTGATGGACAGCTCGCTAACAGCTTATCTGTTTCCAATCTTCCCTGCTCTATCATATCATCACACACAAAGTCAAGAGTGGTTTAGGTGCTGTGCATTGAAAATAACCTCCTCCTCAGACCTTTTTATTGTGACCCTGACTGACTCCTGCAGAGAAGGTCATCTCTCAGCAGAGGATGTGCAGGAAAGTCCACTAGAAGCTGACTGGAATATTTACCATATTCATTTAAGCATGTTAGCATGCTAATTGACAATTACAACTTAACACTAAGTACAGCCAATTCTGATGGGAATGTGATGAGTTTGGCAGGAAAAGTCAGAGGATCTCTTAAATCAGTAGGCTCATTATCTGGAAACCATGCATGTCATTTTTAGTAGCTGTTGCGATATTTCACAGGATAAGTCAGAACTTTGACCTGCTGATGGAGCTATAGGAAATGTTACGGGATCACCAAAGTTATTAGGATTCATCCTCTGGGGACCACGAATGGCTGTACAAAATGTGATTGCAATATATCAAATAGCTGTTGACAAACAGTGGTGGCTCGATAGACTGCCATCCCAAGAGCCACGCTGTTTGACAAAAGAAAAGGCAGGTGAATGTTCAATCAATATCCTGCCATCTTATCAGGTACTGCTAGAATTCTTTTTGACAGATAAAATAATCAATACATTTCTGTCGAATGTTTTTTAATGGGGTGAAGAGGCCCAAACTCCAGCGACACTGTACGACTTCATTGTTTAGACGAGCGTGTTTCAGCTTGTGGCCTTCGTTAGGGTCATTCTGTCATGTCATGAAGCTTCCCTTTGCTGTAATGCTGATATGTCATGATGAACACAACAACATGTAAATGAACTTGGAGTGAATAAAAGTAACGAAAGATGCCCTGAGGCTTTGAAAGACACTCCAGATATCAACAGACTAGGAAGTGTTAAAAGACTTCCTAGTCAAAGACAGTATCTCACGCTGGATGACACACAAAGGAGACTGAGGCAAGTTTTTACTAGCCTTACATACTGGGTTATGTTCAGGGCCTTCACTTGAATATCTGTGACTGAGAAACAGGCCAGCACAGTTGCAGATTGTGGAAAAAAAGGAGTGTTGATGCATGCAAGGCCAATGACCGGCTGAAAGCTGACCATTTCTGCTTAATGTTCACATCACTGCAAACTTGAATAAGCAAAGAGTCAAGTGGACGATACAATTAGCTGCGGGCTAGAATTGGAAGGAGTAAATGAAAGAGATACTGCATGGCCTGTTCACCCCGCAGCAGGTTAAGTGAGCAACACAATGTCTTGTAGGATTCAAGGACAACAATTTGTAATGTTTACAGGGTTATATTCCCCAGGGTCTAAAGAAGTAATAGAACCCGTTACTGCTGGGGGCGAGCTTTCCTGGAGATATTGCAGCATACAAGGGTTGAATCGATGTTCAACAAAAATGCATCTGTTGTTTACCGAAGGTCAAGAGCTAACAGTGGAGAGATGGAAACCTCTGATCAGAGAACTAAATCTTACTTTGTTTCAAGAGGCAGCTGTCTGGCATGCATTAGATACATGCAACCCTGAGCTGTTCCACATTTTGCGGGGGGGGGGGGGACTCAGAAAACTTTTAAGATGGGTGCGCAGGATGCAAAAGCCAGCACACATGGGATGGCTGAGTGATGAAGAAAACAGATGTGATTGTGGCAATCAAGCTTCCTCCTTTGCCTGTTCCTTCCCCCCCCCCCCTCAGGTAGAGGCAAATTAGATTTTGGACACTGGTCTCAAACCAGTGCAGTGCTATGCTCAAGACATTACTTGGCTTGAATAATATGCATGCCGCAGATCCAAAAAGCGGTTCAGCTCACAGGCTTTTCCATGCCACAGGGGTTGGACGCAAGCCACAAACATTCACGGTAACAACTCAGCCAATAATGTGTTGTATTAAGGCCTGCTTAGGATATGAAGGGAAAATCAGCATCACTTTTGCCAGCAGCTACACCATACTTGTGGTTTAAAAAGTTTCTCGCAAGAAACAATTAAGAAATACAACAAATCTACCATGAGCAAGTACTAGCCTACTCAGCAGATATAACTTCAATGATCCCACTAAAAGCATGACACTTTTCTTCAGCATCACCATCAGAGGGACAGTTCTCAGCTGAGACTTTACAGTTGTTTTTGTCATCTGCTATGTAATGCGCTGCCTGTCATATTGCCGTGGGATGTAGCCGTGATATTATAAGCGCCTGTTGCAATATGAACCTACTGCAAAAGTTTTCCACTAAACGGTTACTTTACAAACTGCAGTCTTGCTTCACTGCCTCAACCGCGACGTTACTTCAGAACTGACATCGCTTTTGCATATTTCAAGCATCGCCACCACGCCCGTAAAAAGTGGACAAAATCCATACCTTTAACTATTGATAAATCCACAAACTTGCGACCACATTAATCCGGAAAAAAATGCGTGCGTGTATCCAGGAAAAAAATCTTGTGGGGCGACGCTAATGCAATTCAAATGTAATCCAGCTTGTTCTCCCGTCGATTTATTTTCCTGAGGCTTCTTCCACGGAGAAAGGAAAGAAGACAAAAGTTAGGGCAAGATCGTCCGGGTCCAACTTTTCCCCCTCCCCTTTCTCTCTCTCCCACTGCTGCACAATCCAAGTCCTAAATCCCTCTCTCCCTACTCTACTCTCCCTTTGCTTTCTCTGTGTCGTTCTGGTTTCTCCCTACTTCCTTACTTTTTTTCCCTCTCGGTCTCTTAACTCTTCTACATCCCGAAATCCCTTCCTGCCCCCCCCCCCTTCTCCCCTCTCCCATCCTCTCTGTGGGAGATCCCTCAGTAAAACGTGTAGTGACATCACCTTGTCCACAGTGCTGGAAAATGAGCCTGGGGCATCTCTCTAATCTCTCTAGCAAGCTCATTCCCTCTCCTTACTCTCTACCCTCACCTCCTCATCCTCCCCTCCATCTATCCTTCACCTTTCACAGTTTGATTCATGGCTTACTGGAGGGTGAGGAAAACCTCAATTCCGTCTGGGGTTAAAGCACTGTATTAGGACAAGAAATATGGATAACTGCAGTAATGGCTGGTGCATTATTGAGAAGAATTTATTCCATTGAAATTAATGAACTTGTTTATCATACTTATCTTTGATTGATGGCCAGGTCCACAGGCTTCATATTGTTTTATCGCTGGGTTTTATTGCATCCAATCCATAAAGTGGTCTCGGTTCCAACCCCTGATCATTCAGAAACACTTGTCTTAATAGCCACATCAATTCCACCTTTATTGTCAGTAAGTAAATAGTTCAGGAGGTGAATAAATATCACTCGAGCATTTGATTTATATGTGCCTCCCCCTCTGTTGTGGCTGAATAGGTACTGAGGAGTGCTCACATCTTCGAGATATTTATTTCTGCACTATGATCAGAGGTCAAATCCTCCACCGAGCCATTATCTTGAACTTTCTCATTAGTTTCAACCTCTAGCTCAGAAAAAAAAAAGAAAGTTCAAACAGCATAATAAGAAAGGACAACGCAGGAACGAGACGTTCAGGCTCCATGAATGACTTTAGCAGCTGTCTAGCAATCCTGCAACCCTTGAACTGTATGGACATCTGGATACGACCCCTTTGAACTAATATTGGTGAAAACAAAGTTTTTTGGTCACTGCCTGTGGGAAATCTGGATAAGTGTGTGTTTGTGAGCATGCATGTGCCTTCATATGTGCTGGTGGCACAATAACATGGAAGCAAAACAAAGGCCGTAATAACTTTATGTGCAACTTTACACCTTGTTTTGAAATGTACCCACTGCTGAATACTATATTCAACTGAATAGCAATGAAATGGTTTCATCTTAGTAGTTTGATTTCTTCTCTTTGAAATTTCCAGTAGATCATGTTAAGTGCAAATTCAGCAAAGATTGATTGCTCATTAGACAGTATGTTTAAATTGGAATTTGTTGAATTTCTCCAAACCAATTGCTATCAGAATTTAATCTTAATTTACTTAAAAAAACTAATTTAAGGAACATGAATATAGTTTTCCTTTTCTGAGAAAATTGTACACGGTGCCCAGAGGATAATACCACCACACTTGTGGACTTGTGGACATCCTGGGAAGTCTGGGAGGGCTGTCCAAATCTACAATTCATCAGGACCACAAGGGGTATCAGACTGGGATGTAGACTTCACTGATTTAATTACCCACATCGTTGCCGACCACAAAAACAAAATTTATTAAGAATGTGTAAAAAGACTACGGTTTTAAAATGCAACTTGAATTATGTGGGCCAGAATTATAATGAAACCACATCATGACACAGAAATATGTCGTATAGGCTATAAAGATCATTTCAAAATGATGCTAACAAAAGTGGCAAATGAATAATACCCAATTAATCTGGTATTTACAAACATTTCTGTATTTAAATGTATGTAGCCTATATGTTGTATGTATGAATATAATTTGTTCACTCACAAAAAAAGCCTTTAAGATATCTACAGAGACATATGAGCAGACATTAAGATTCATCAACTTGTGTGAGCAATAGGACCACCTGTTCTCAGGTGTGAGGCATTCCCCAGCTGAGGGCTTTGTGCGAGTATGGTAATGATGGATTATGCTAAACCAACTTAGTGGCACGTTTCATTATGCATATCAGAAGAAAATGAAAGAGCCCTTTCTGTAGAATACTGTGGATTCTTGCCAGAATATTTTTCAATAAAATTAAGCTAAACGGTCCTGAGATGAGGGAGCAAGCCAAAGAGAAATGGGAGAACCCCAAAAGGAGATACAGGATAAAACAACAGATCGCTGGAAACCGATATTCTGATCGATATGCTTGGTGAATTGGGATGGTTTCTGAGCGACGCTGGTGTGAAAAAGGGTTCGCTCATTATTCATTCTTACCTTTTTTTCCAACACAATCTCATTCGTTTATGAACTGGAATGGGAACAGAGGGTGGAGAAGCAACAGCTGCAAGCTGGAAATTCTTCCTGCCATGCACCGTGCCATTGGAAACAAATATAGTATACAACCAACAAACCTCAGAGCCAGACCTGACCCCCCTCCACAGCTGATCACTCTTCCAGAGCTTCACCAGAACCCCTGGTATAACCATCTGCAGCTGCCTTAGTCCACCAAGCCTTATCCAGTCAAGCCTCATCTAGTCGATCTTCCAATAAAAAAAGACATGGTGAACCACTAGATTTTCTCAGGGAATACACAGACCAAGAAAAGCAAAGGCAAAAGGTAGCTGGAGGACCAGTCAGAGAGGAGAGAACAGACAAGACCAACTAGACAAATTAATCTCCTTATTTGGCAAAATTGTTGACAACATTAATTGACTCAGCTCTGTGTTTTTGTAACCCATTGTCTATTACCATAGTTGCTTCACTTGTTTTGTATAAAAGAAAACACAGAAAGTATTTCTGAAACACAAACACAATGAAAGGTGTAAACTTAAAAAAATAAAAGAAATGTACACATAGTTTGCAGAGCTGCATAATCGTGTTCTCTCAGCATGATTGGCAGCTGAACTGGTTGCTGAAATATGGAAATATGGACACTTCTTGAAGCCCACATGATCTTGTAGTTCTCGAGGACTGGCAAAATGTCCTCCTGGATGGCATCTCCTACAATAGCATATACAGGTATATATATATATATATATATATACACACACACACACACACACACACACACACACA